GAACAGGAACACCAACACACACCTGTACCTTGGCACTGAGGGGAACAGGAACACCAACACACACCTGTACCTTAGGACTGTGGGAAACAGCAATATTACATTCAAAAAAAGCCTGGAATAAAAAGCTGTCCTAACGTTGACCATATATGCATTGTGAATTTTTGTAAAGTTCCACCTCATTCATTAATGTCCTTTAATCTGCTATCCTCACCTGGTCTGGCCTACATGAGACTCCAGACACATAACAATGTGGTTGACTCTTAACCTCTCCCTGGGCAATTAGGGATTAGCAATAAATGCTGGAGTAGACAGCATCACCCACATCCCATAAAATGTTGGAGTAGAAGTAGACTATTCAGCCCATCAATTCTGTTTTACCATTCAATGTGGACCAATGAAAAAGAACTCCTGTGCTGTGGGAGTGGGGGCTAACGCCAAAATACAGTTGTAAAGTGGGACACAGAGGAACACCAACATACAGTTGTAATGTGGGACACAGAGGAACACCAACATAGAAGAGTGTTTCCGCTTTCCCACCTCCTGTCCAGGTTCCTCTCGGATTTTGCTGACTGTTATTGGGGTCAAACTGCAGGGACCCCATTGGAAACTTACCCCCCATATGTGGCTGCAGTGAGGAACTCAGGAGGTACTGTGTTAAAGCCCTATCCTGTTCTCAAACCTGCATGCATCCACTTTGTAGCTCAGTTATTGAGCTGGGAACCTGGGACCATTCTCCCCTATCCAATGTGGTACTGAAGCCAATTGCATCAGTCTTACTCCATACCCAGCTGAAGTCAAACAGGTCATCACAAAGATGGTGTAAAACATGGGTCTGTGTGGCATGTGGGCCTCAATTTTTGACTGCCCTGACCCAGCTTATGGTCTTGTGGCCTGTTAAATCTCTGTGAATATTGAATAAGAACGTCTGTCACTCAGCTATCTGCTTATCGCCGTTATCCCATTCCTGCTCCATGAAACGTAGTTGTTATTCCTGATTCACCGCTCTTCACTTTATAAACATGTTTCATGTGCCCTAAACATGCTCCTTTTTTTTGCACTTTCTATCCTATGCCCCTCAGCTAACCCCACTAACCCATCTCCTATTCTATTACTGTTCTGCAGCTGTCAGACCAATACTGTAAATGGAAGTTCAAAGTGCTAACATTGTGAGTTTTGCATTCTCCTACACTGTTACGAATCTGAGAACATAGGAGCAGGCAAAGGCCATTTGGTCCATCAAATCTTCTCCACCATTCAATAGGATGATGGCTGATCAGATAGTGTCTCATTTGGGAATGGGACATGCTGGAAGTAACCCATGCAGAACAGGAGCTGGGAATGTGGGGCTGGGGAAACTGACATCAAGGAAGGTGTTCTTGTTCTGAAATGGTTAAACTCAATGTTGAGTCCTGAGGGCTCTAAGGTAACTAAGTGGAAGATAAGAGATAACAAGGTGTAGAGCTGGATGAACACAGCAGGCCAAGCAGCATCAGAGGAGCAGGAAGGCTGATGTTTCGGGCCTAGACCATTCTTTAGAAATCAGTGGAAGATAAGATGCCTTTCCTCCAGCATCAGTCCTGAGTCAGGAATACTAGTTTCAGAGAATAGTTTTGTGTCTCACTCCTTCAGAGCAGCAGGTTAGGTGAATTGAAGCAGGAGGGTACAGAGTGGGCGAAGGGCAGTAAAACAGCACGGACAAGACAAATGTCAACATGCAACATTGTGTAAACAAATAGCAGTCAGCTTTAATGTCAGATACCAATGGTGATTCACAACAGGGGAAGAGGTAACCTGACTGATGTCTTAAAGATTATAATAGTGTTTGATAGGATAGAGACAGAGAAGAGGCTTCCAATTGTGGGGAGTTCAATATTGGGGGATATCAGTATAAAATATTGACTAATAAATCTCATAGGGAATTCAGGTGAAAGCCTTCACCCAGGGAGAGTGGTTAGAATGTGAAACCAATTATCTGCAGCAGTTGCAGGAAATATGTTTAATGGATTCGGGACAATCTAAGTGAGAAGATGAAAAAGCAATAGAAAGTTATGTCATCAAGACTGCAATTACATATAGTGGGAGGAGGTTCGTGAGGAGTATAAAGACAAGGTGGGCTGAATGACCTACGTCTGTGCTGTAAATAGGATCGACAGGCACCAGGATTATGATAGATATAACACAATGTGGAGCTGGAGGAACACAGCAGGCCAGGCAGCATCAGAGGAGCAGGAAAGCTGACGTTTCAGGTCGGGACTCTTCTTCAGAAGTGGGGGAGGGGTGCTCTGAAATAAATATAGAGAGGAGGGGTGGGGCTGGGGAAGGTAGGTGGGATGGTGATAGGTGAGTGCAGATAGGCAGTGGTGGGGATTGGTTAGTGAGGTGGGAGGAGTGGATAGGTGGGAGAGAAGATGGACAGATTGTGTCAGGTCAAGGAAGTGGGGATGAGAGGGAGTTTTGGTCATGGGATGAGGCCGAGGGTGGGGAGATTTTGAAACTAGTAAAGTCCACATTGAGACCATTGGGTTATAGACTCCCAAAGTGGAATATGAGGTGCTACTCCTCCAGTTTGCGGGTGGCATCATTGTGACACTGGAGGAGGCTCACGATGGGAGGGGGAGTTGAAGTGGTTTGCGACTGGAAGGTGTTGTCTTTTGTCGCGAACCGAGCATAGGAGCTCGACAAAGTGGTCTCCGAGCCTCCGCTTGGTCTCACCGATGTAGAGGAGGCCACATCAGGAACAGAAGATACAATAGACCACATTAGTGGATTTGCAGTGAACATCTGTTTGATGTGGAAGGTTTTCTTGGGGCCTTGGATGGAGGTGAGGGGGGAGGCGTAGGGGCAGGTGTAGCACTTCCTGCGGTTGCAGGGAAAGCTGCCGGGGGTTGGTGGGACTAGTGGGGAGTGTGGAGTGGATGAGCGAGTCGCAGAGAGAGCGGTCCCTCCAGAAGGCAGATAAGGGTGGGGAGGGAAATATATCCTTCAAAGTGGGGTCGGATTGCAGGTGGCGGAAGTGGCGGAGAATGATGCGTTGAATCCGGAGGTTAATGGGGTGAAACATGAGGACAAGGAGAATTGTGTCTTAGTTTTTATTGCGGAGAGGGGATGTGAGGGCTGAGGTGCAGGAAACGCAAGAGATGCGGTCGAGGGTGTTTTTGACCACTGAAGGGGGGACGTTGCGGTCCTTGAAATAGGATGACATCTGGGATGTTCAGGAGTGGAACGCCCCATCTTGGGAGCAGATGCAGCGGAGGAATTGGGAGTAGGGGATCACATTCTTGCAGGAAGGTGGGTGAGAGGAGGTGTAATCTAGATAGCTGTGGGAGTCGGTGGGCTTGAAATAGATATCAGTTTCCAGGTGGTCATTAGAAATGGAGACAGAGAGTTCCAGGAAGGAGGGACATATCAGAGATGGTCCAGTGAACTTAAGGTTGGGGTGGAAGGTGTTAGTAAAGTGGCTGAACTGTTCGACCAGCTCCTGGGAGCACGAGGTGGCACCGATACAGTCATCAATGTAACGGAGGAAGATGTGGGGGATGGGGCCAGTGTAGCTGCAGAACAGGGACTGTTCCATGTATCCTACAAAGAGGCAGGCATAGCTTGGGCCCATGGCCACCCCCTTTGTCTGTAGGAAGTGGGAGGAGTTGAAGGAGAAGGTGTTAAGGGTAAGGTCGAGTTCGGTTAAGCAGATGAGAGTGTCGGTGGAGGGGGAATGGTTCGGGCCAGCGGGACCGGAAGAAGCGGAGGGCCTTTAGGCAATCTGCATGGGGAATGCAAGTGTATAGGGACTGGACGTCCATGGTGAAGATGAGGAGTTCGGGACCAGGGAATCGGA